TGCCTGCTGGGCTCCGGTGATCCTTCCGCCTCAGCCTTCCAAGTAGCTGGAACTACAGGCGAGCGCTACCACGCCCGGCTAATTTTTGATTTATTGTACAGTTGAGATCTCACCAAGTTGCCCAGGCGGGTCTTGAATCAGCGGGTTCAGGCAATCCACTCACCTCGGCCTCCCAAAGTGCTAGGATTACAGGCTGAGCCACAGAGCCCAGCCTAAAAAAATTTTTAAAAAAGGTCTTTTCCTGTGTGTTGTAGGGATGGGCCCTTCCCCTCACAGCCGGCCCTCCCGCCCATTACCTCTTCCTGGTCCAGCATCTGCTGCTTGAGCTTTTCTATGAGTTGGCTCTGCTGGTTGATCTCATCATCCTGTGGCAGGCAAGGGGGAAAGCTGGGTGAATGGGGTGACTCTTTCCGGTTTGGAGTTAAGGGCTGGGCCTGGGGTGGGACCCTGATCGACATCCAAATAGTTTAAGCTTTGAGGTTGAAACTCCATATCCTACAAAGAAACTCCCTGTCCTAAAAGTTCCTTTTCCTCGGCTTCTTTTCTGGGCTCCCACCCTTACCTTTAAATTTATTTCTTCCTAGAAGTTGGTATGACCTTGACAACAAACAGCAAAAGGCTTTAAAAATTTTTTTTAGATCCCTTAATTTAATTATTTACTTATTTTAAAGGCAGGGTCTTAAGTCTGGTGTGGTAGCACATGCCTATAGTTCCAGCTACTTGGAAGGCTGAGGCGGAAGTATCGCCAGAGCCCAGCAGGTCAATGCTGCAGTGGCCGTGAGCGTGTCACTGCACTCTAGCATGGGCGAGAGAGTGAGACTCCAACTCAAAAAAAATAAATAAATAAAAATAAATAAACAAATAAATAAATGACAAAGACAGGGTCTTGCTGTGTTGCCCAGGCTGGAGTGCAGTGGTGCGAGCATAGCTTATTGCAGCCTCTAACTCCTGGGCTCAAGCGATCCTCCTGCCTCAGCCTTCCAAGTAGCTGGGATGACAGGCCTGACCCACCACACCAGCTAATTTATTTTTGCTTTTTTTTTAGACACAGAGACTTACTATGTTGTCCAAGCTGGTATCAATCCCTGGCCTCATGTGATTCCCCTGCTCCAGCTTCCCCAGTAGCTAGGATTCCAGGCGCAAGCCACCACACCCACCAAAAGACTTTATTTGTGTTATTTTTTTTTAAGTCGGGAGTCTCACTCTGTTAGGCTGGAATGCAGTGGCACAATCACAGCTCTCTGCACTCCTGACCTCCTGGGCCAGGTGATCCTTCCACCTCAGCCTCCTGAGTGGCTGGGACTATGGACGTGTTGGTGCTAATTTGTGTGATTTTTTTTTTATAGGGACCAGGTCTCACTATGTTGCCCAGGCTGGTCTCAAACTGCTGGGCTTATGCAACCCTTCTGCCTCAGTCTCCCAAAGCACTGGCCAAATGACTAAATATTCATATATCTTAACCTGGAATTCCACTTTAGCACACTATTATAATCAAATCATTCAAAAGCAAAGTTTTATGCACAAGAAGCAAAGATAGTCATTTCAGAGTTATTTATAATAGCTAAAAATAAAAACAAAAACAAAAACAAAGAAACTAGAAGTTTTGGAATAAGTGAATGGTTCAACATGGGAGGACCCACCAAAAAAAAACTGGAATAATTTTTTGGAGGGCAACCCCGTTGTAGTACAGGCTTTTCTCACCAGGTAAGTGTTCTAGGAAACAATCGACATCAGTGTACCAGCTAGTGTTGTTGTAAGAGGCTGCTTGGCTTCAGTGGATTGTTTTTGGAGATTCTTTTTTTTTTTTGAGTCAGTCTCACTCTGTCACCCAGGCTGAAGTGCAGTGGCACACTCATGGGCTTAGGTGACCAAGTAGCCTCTGCCTTCCATGTAGCTGGAACTATAGGCACGTGTTACCACGTTCGGCTAATTTTTTGATATTTTGTAGAAATGAGGTCTCGCCAAGTTGCCCAGGCTGGTCTTGAACCCCTGAGCTCAGGCAATCTTCTTGCCTTGCCCTCCCAAAGTGCTAGGATTACAAGCTTAAGGCACCACGCCCAGCCCAAAAACTGTTTTGAGCAGTAGAAAAGGAGTTACGAAACGAGTATTGCATCAAACAGAGAGCACTTTGAAAGTGACTAAAGAGCCGGGCTCGGTGGCTCAGCCTGTAATCCCGCACCTGTGGGAGGCTGAGGTGAGTGGATTGCCTGAGCCCGCGGGTTCGAGACCTGCCTGGGCAACTTGGTGAGACCTCATCTCTACAATAAATCAAAAATTAGCCAGGCGTGGTAGTGCGCGCCTGTAGTTCCAGCTACTTGGAAGGCTGAGGCAGAAGGATCGCTGGAACCCAACAGGTCGAGGCTGCGGTGGCCGGGAGTGGCCACTGCACTCTAGTCTGGGCGACAGAGTGAGACTCCAACTCAAAAAAACAACAAAAAACAAAAAAAAAGAAAGTGACTAAAGTTTAAACATAAAAATACACAATTTTTAATAAATAAATTCAGAGTTTTTGGGGTCCCCCCTCATACATTTTGACAAACAGACTCTTAGGCAGTCACTTAAAAATACTTTAAGGCCAGGCATGGTAACTCATGGGTGTAATATCAGCACTTTAGGAGGCTGAGACAGGAGAATTGCTTGAACCTAGGAGTTGGAGACCAGCCTGGGCAACATAGTGAGACCTTGTTCCTACAAAAAATACAAAAATTATCTGAGTGTGGTGGCGCTTGCCTTTAGTCCCAGCTACTTGGGAGGCCAAGACAGAAGGATCCCTTGAGCCCAGGAGGTCAAGGCTGCTGTGAGCTGGGACCACAGCAGTGCACTCCAGCCTGGGTGATAAAATAAGCCCCTGTCTCAGGAATAAATAAATAAATAAATAATACTTTAAGAGAACTGTTAAGGAAAAGGGAAATTGCTCATATAAAATTGCTGAATGAAAAAATCAGCAAAATGATAAGCCAGGCACAGTGGCTCAAGCCTGTAATCCCAGCACTTTGGGAGGCCGAGGCGAGAGGACTGCTTGAGCCTAGGGGTTTGAGACCAGCCTGGGCAACCTGGCGAGACCTCGTCTCCACAATAAATTTCAAAAATTGGCCAAGTGTAGTGGAATGGGCCAGCCACTTGGAAGGTTGAGGTGGAAGGATCACCTGAGCCCAGCAGGTCAAGGCTGCAGTGGCCGTGAGTGTGCCACTGCACTTCAGCCTGGGCAACAGAGTGAGACTCCGACTCAAAAAAAATACACCACAATATACCTCAATTGCACAGAGAAAAGTAAAACGTCAACAGTGTCATCTTTGAATGGTGGATGATGGGTGATTTCAATTTCTGCTATATATTTTTATTTATTTTTGCACATCTACTCCCTTTAAAATCAGATGGAGGCCATATGAGCTGCATTCTTTAGCTCTCAACTCACCCCACCCCACTCCACCCCACCCCGCCTCCAGCCCACTTTGCCACTCTGCCTGGGCCTCACCTTGTCATCCAGCTGTTTATAGAGGCGCCGGATCTCCTCCTCGTACTTCTGCCGCTCTTCGGGCGCAATGCGCACCACGATGGACGAGTTGTCATTCACTGGGGTCTCCTCACAGAGCTCGGCCCCAAGGGCTGCATCCTCCCCGGCCAGGCGCTCCGTCTCAGGCACGTTCTCTCCTGGAAAAGGGGCAGGACAAGTGAGGGATGGGAGAAGGGCGCTCTTCCCTTCTCACTCCTCCACGCCAAGGCCCTCCGGCCCTCGTGCTCTCCTGCCTAGTGGGCCTTCACCCCTGCAAAAACACAGCCCTCCTTCTGGGAGACTGGCCTCACAGCACCCAGACAGGCTGGCCTTGGCCGCCCTGCCGCCTCCTCCCCCTCCTGCTCCTCCTCCTCCCACCGCCTCCCACGCTCGCCAGATCCCTTTCTAACCATTGCGCCACCGGCTCAGCTCGGCCTCCAGCTTGGCGATCGTCTCTTTCTGGGTCTTTGTCTTCTCCTTCTCCTTCTCATACTTCTTCTTCCATTGCTCAGCAGTCAGCTCCAGGTTCACAGAGGCAGTGTTCTTAATGGTCTTCGCCCTGGGAGAGGAGAAAGAGGGACAGAGAACTGAGGCTTGCATCAGACTTGGGTGACACTGAGGAAACAGAGCCACAGGGGTGGCAGAGATCCCTCTGGGGACTGTGACACTGACCGCTGCCCAAACATCAGGGTGGACTTGGTCTCTGCATCGTTGTAGCTGGACGGCGAGCAACAGATGAACATGGTCGTCCGGCAGTTTCCTCCCAGAGAGTCCTGAAGAATCCGTGTCATTTTGCTGTCACGATATGGAACATAGCTTTTCTGGAGGAAGAGGGAGACTGTGACTCAGAAAAATGAATTCAGCAGGAAACAGAAAGAATAATGGTGTTGACTAGGGATCAAGCCGTCTGTGAATTGACGGCGGTGGGGGGAAATTAAGAGAAGGTGGCGGCAGGTGGGCGGGGCTTGAGGAGGGAGGGGCCCTAAGGGACACTCACAGTGCCCTCAGCCAGCGCGGAGATCACATTCCCCAGGGCGGACAGTGACTTATTGATATTCTTTGCCTCATCCAGCACGGCGCCCTCTGCTCCAGTCTTACTGACCTACCAGGGCAGAAGGGACGAGTGTGTCATGAGCAGCTGCAAAGGGAGATGGCTGTCACCACCTCTTTCCACATGGTGGGGCTCAGTCCAAGGAGAAAGGGGGGAAGAGGAAGAGGAGGGAGCAAAGAGATGCTTGCCCGGGAACAGGGAAGGCCCTTCTTCTGTTCCCCTAAACTCTCTTGCCAGAGGCCATCTTGCACCTACCTCCTGCCACATAATATACGACTCCCCTTATATGACATGTTGAAGAGAGGCAAATCCATAGAGACAGAAAGTAGATTAGAAGTTGGCAGGGGCCAGGCACAGTGGCTCACACCTGTAAGCCCAGCACTTTGGGAGGGGGACGCGAGAGGATTGCCTGAGTCCAGGGATTCAAGATGAGCCTAGGCAACTTGGCAAGACCTTATCTCTACAATAAATAAAAAAAATTAGCCGGGCTTGGTGGCTCAGCCTGTAATCCTGCGCCTTTGGGAGGCTGAGGTGAGTGGATTGCCTGAGCCCGCGGGTTCGAGACCCGCCTGGGAACTTGGTGAGACCTCATCTCTACAAGAAATCAAAAAATCAGCCGGGCATGGTACCGCGCTCCTGTAATTCCAGCTACTTGGAAGGCTCGCCAAAGCCCAGCAGGTCAAGGCTGCAGTGGCCGGGAGCGGCCACTGCACTCCAGTCTGGGCGACAGAGTGAGACTCCAACTCAAAAAAAAAAAACAAAACAAATTTTTTTTAAAATTAAAAAGACCAAAGGCTTCCACTCGCCCCATGCCCACGAGGTCTCCAACCTTCTCGCTCCCTGCCAGGTCCACGAGATACAGCTTCCCACTGAGCTTCTGCTCTGTTTCCATGTTCTCCTGCTTGATGTTAATGAGGAAGATGCTGTGGCTTCGAGAGCTGTGTTCGTTCATGTCTGCAGGAGCAGGGGAGAAACGGGACCTATATAACCTGCGGAACCAAAGTCCTCAGCCCTTGGTGTCTGCTGACTACCGCCCCTCCCGCCAAGAGAGAAGGTGCCCACCAGGACTGCCCCTGATGCCACATCCCCCAAGCAGCAGGGTCGCACCAACAAGGGACCCTCCTCTTTCCTTTGCTCACTTTCCAGTCCCTCCACCCGAGGGCACAGAAGAGAGACAGATCCCGAATCAAGAGCCCCATATAGTCCCACTCACTGGTGACAGCCACATGACGATTTGATTTCCCTTCATCAATCACATCCAAAATCTCTTCTGGGCTGGACACAAAGCGTTCAGTGCAACCCTGCAGGGGACAATGACCCACACACTCTGATTTGCAAATGAAGCTGCCCGCACGCTGACCAAATGACCCTTCAATGCAGTGTCTTTGCCAAGCCCCCAGACTTTCCCTGAGCCCTTGGTACATCTCACGCCTCCAGGACATCGGCCTTCCAGCCTCCGGGTCACTGACCTCTGCTCCCTCGCCCACACTCTCCATACACTGGCCTCACATAGGTGCCTGCCCCCTCTCTCACCTTGACAAACGGCACCCGGTTCTTGTCCTCGTGCACTGACAAATTCGTCTTGGTCACTGAATCAAGAGAATGCAGTGTGAGCAAGACCGTTTCTTCCATCTATCCCTCTGCACTCCTCCCCCCTTCCCCTCCTCCCCCTTTTCCTCCTCCTCCTCCTCCTCTTCTTCCTGATCCAGCTCTGCTTGGGCTGTTTCTATGTGGGCCTGCACCCGAAGCTCATTTTCAGACCCTCTTTGTTTGTAGCAATCCTTGGAACCAAGTCTCAGATCCTGTATGCCCTCTGCATCTCCTGCCAAGTAGTACTAACTCAAAGAGCAATGTGTCTTTCTTTTCCTCACCCTCCTCACACACCCTCACCCTTTGAAGCTGAGCACTCACCATCCAGAAGGTCACGAATTTTGTCCAGGTAGATCTCAAAGTAAGAAACCTGGTTAGGGAGACAGAAGGAGTGTGAGGTGAAGAGAGCCTATCTGAAATCGGATACAGGAATCCTAAACTAATGTGACCTGCTCAAACGGTGAGGGTGGACGGGAAAGGGTGGAAGAGAACACCTTGAAGGACAACTGCGGTAACCATAGAAGGGGAGGCCACATTGGGGAGCCCAGGATCTTCAGGGAGTTCAGGCTAAATCTCCCCTCCCAGGCCCCATCCAAGAGTGTCCTGCTGTCAAGCCCTGGTCACCTTGATGTGGAACTCAAGGTTCTCATCCATGGAGTAGATGTGATTGAAGATGTCTCGGGCAATTCGAGGAATGATTCCCATCAGCTGGGGGTCGTGCAGCTTTCCCTGGGGAGTGAGGGTATTCCAGAGTGAAGCCGAGGCTCAGGGAGAATGAGACAACTCAGAGGCATGCAGGGGAACACAGAGGCAAGAATTGAAAAGAAGACTGTTCTAAGTGAGGAGATTGTCACCATTACGTCTGTGTTTTGGTGGTGGGAGGAGACAATGGAGCAGTCCTTGGGACTCTCATTGTTGCTGCTTTTCCGAATCAAAAGAAGAGGCTGGGCACGTGGCTCACGCCTATAATCCCAACACTCTGGGAAGCCGAGGTGAAAGGATTGCCTGAGCCCACAGGTTCAAGACCAGCCTGGGCAACATGGCGAGACCTCCTCTCTACAATAAACCAAAAAATTAGCCGGGCATAATGGCACACATTTGTAGTTCCAGCTACTTGGAAGGCTGAGGCGGAAGGATCACCTGAGCCCAGCAGGTCGAGGCTGCAATGGTCGTGAGCATGCCACTGTACTCTGGCCTGGGTGATGGAGTGAGACTCCGACTCCATAAAAAAAAGAAGAAAAAGAAGAAATCGAGTTGTGGAGAGGAGGGTACATCGCAGCAGGCTGAAGGAAGCCCATTCAACTTCCCCTCCAGTGTGTCACACTTCAGTTCATCCTCTGAACCCATCTGCCTCTGGTCTAGGCAGCTGTTGATACCTATATCTCCACCCACACTCCCCCACCCCCGAGATTCCTTGACCTTTCCAACACTCCCAGCTGTTCACACCCTACAGAGTCAGCCCTCACCTCCATGGTATGGGTTTTCCCGGAGGATGTCTGTCCATAAGCAAAAATGGTGCCATTGTAGCCAGCAAGGACATCTGGAAGAGATGATAGAGAAATTTGTAGACGTAAGTGGGGAATGAGGAGCCTGAAAAAACACGTTCTGGAAATCCATCCATTACCTTTGACGATCTGCATGGCACACGCATGATACACCTGCTCTTGTGTCGTGTTTGGGGGGAATACACGGTCAAAGACATACGGCTTCCCCTACAAGGAAAGTGAAAGACGTCAGCCATCAGTACAGGTGCAAGGGAGAAGAAATATCACAGCGGCTTCCGTCAGCCTGAGACAGTCACCCTCTTCTTCCACATGTGTAGAAAACTTGGGAGAATGAGGGACACTACGTGTGCCAGTGACACCAAAAGTCGTGTTTGTAAGGTAGAGGACTATCACGCATGAGACTGCGTGTCAGGATCTTAGTCTTGGTGTGATGATTTTGTACCCCACCACTCCCAAACTCTCCCTGGGAAGCCAAATGAGAACAGACCCTAAGGCCACAGGCTGTGGAAAGCAAAGAACAATTTATCAATATTAAAAAGTGTGCTAAGTCGGGCTCGGTGGCTCAGCCTGTAATCCCGCACCTTTGGGAGGCTGAGGTGAGTGGATTGCCTGAGCCCGCGGGTTCGAGACCCGTCTGGGCAGCGAGACCTCATCTCTACAATAAATCAAAAAATCAGCCGGGCGTGGTAGCGCATGCCTGGAATTCCCGCTACTCGGAAGGCTGAGGCGGAAGGATCGCCGGAGCCCAGCAGGTCGAGGCTGCAGTGGCCGGAAGCGGCCACTGCACTCCAGTCTGGACGACAGAGTGAGACTCCAACTCAAAAAAAAAAAAAAAGAGTAAATGAGGTTATGCTTGTTCTCTATCATAAGTTGACAAATTTCCCAGTTGTGTTTTCGCGCCGTTTAGTATTAAGAGACTATGACCTGTCAAATTGTTTTACTACACTGCCTATCTTTATCCAGTCAAAATGTAGCCTTCAAGATCTACCAACACAGGGCTCGGTGGCTCAGCCTGTAATCCTATACTTTGGGAGGCCAAGGTGAGTGGATTGCTTGAGTCCGCAGGTTTGAGACCCACCTGGGCAACTTGGCGAGACCTCATCTCTACAATATAGTCAAAAACTAGCCGGGCGTGGTAGTGCGTGCCTGTAGCTCTAGCTACTTGGAAGACTGAGGCGGAAGGATCGCTGAAGTCCAGCAGGTGGAGGCTGGGCGACAGAGTGAGACTCCAACTCAAAAAAAAAAATGTCTTCTCATTGGGTGTGGTGGGCTGTGATCCTGCCACTGCCCTCCAGTCTAGAAGACAGAGTGAGACTCCAACTCAAACAAAAAGGTCTACCAACATCAGAGTTTGGGGGATATGTTTTAACTAACTAAGGAAAGTCCTAAAACTTGGCTAGAGGCTGAGTCAGTTGTGGTTCACGCCTGCAATCCTAGAGCTTTGGGAGGGTGAAGTGGGAGGACTGCTTGAAGCCAGGCATTCAGTACCAGCCAGGCCACCGCAGCCTTGACCTGTTGGGCTCTGGCGATCCTTCCGTCTTAGCCTTCCAAGTAGCTGGAACCACAGGCCTGTGCCACCATGCCCAGCTGATTTTTTTTATTTATTGTAGAGATGAGGTCAGGCCAAGTTGCCCAGGCTGGTCTGGAATCCCTGGACTCAGGCAATCCTCCTGCCTTGGCCTCCCACAGTGCTGGGATTACAGGCATGAGTCACTGTGCCTGGCTCAAAAAAAATTTTTTTTTTTGAGTTGGAGTCTCACTCAGTCACCCAGACTGGAGTGTAGTGGCTGCTCCTGGTCACTGCAGCCTTGACCTGCTGGGCTCCAACAATCCTTACCATCTCAGCCTTCCAAGTAGCTGGAACTACAGGCGCGCGCTACCATGCCCGGTTAATTTTTGACTTATTGTAGAGATGAGGTCTCGCCAAGTTGCCCAGGCAGGTCTCGAACCCGCAGGCTCAGGCAATTCACTCACCTCGGCCTCCCAAAGCACAGGATTACAGGCTGAGCCACCGAACCCGGCCAAAAAAATGTTTTAAGTAGCTTGTAGCTGGGCATGGTGGGTCACACCTGTAGTCTCAGCTACTTGAGAGGCTGAGGTGAGAGGATCACTTGAGCCCAGGAGTTTGAGGCCGAAGTAAGCTACGATAGACAGCCACTGCATTCCAACCTGGTCAACAGAGCCAGACCTTGTCTCCAAAAAAATAATAAAATAATAAAATAAAACAATTTCAAACGTGGCTAGAGCTGGAGAAGTAGCTCTAGGTATATCTACAATATTACATGGATATATACAGAATTTTTTCTAGAAGGAGTTATATAAAAAGGTTAATAGTAGTTACTTTAAGGAGAGAAACTAGGAGAAAAGAGTTTCATTTTTAATTTTGTAACCTGAATTGCTTACATTGTTTAACCAGGTACAAGTATTATACTTTTAGAATTTTAGTGGCAAATAAGATGACATAACAGCGTATTATTTTGTGTTCTTCTTCTTCTTTTTTTATTTTTGAATTGGAGTCTCACTCTGTCGCCCAGACTGGAGTGCAGTGGCACACTCCCTAACACCGTAGCCTCGACCTGCTGGGCTCTGGCGATCCTTTCACTTCAGCCATCCAGGTAGCTGGAACTACAGGCACACGCTACCACACCAGGCTAGTTTTTTATTTATTGTAGAGATGAGGTCTCGCTGCCCAGGCAGGTCTCAAACCCATGGGCTCAGGCAATCACTCACCTCAGCCTCCCAAAGGCGCGGGATTACAGGCTGAGCCACCAAGCCCGGCTATGTTATTTTTTAAATATCAAAAAATTAAATCTGGTTTATGGCAAAAAATCTACCTGAAACATTGATCTGATATCATGAAGAAAGCCTCTGAAGCTCAAGAAACAGAAGAAAACAAAGGAGAGGAAGTTGGGAAGCTTCTCTGTAATACACTGTAAACTGATTGAATCTTTTAGAGGGCAATTCTATTAAACAGTTAAATGTCTATACTGTCTATGGTCTGTACCAGGATTCCAGTGCTAGGAGTTCATTTTATAAAACACTTCTGGAAACACTTAAAGATATATGTAGACGGATAGTCAGTGCAGCAGTTTGCATTAAAGAAAAACCAAGACTGGCCGTGGTGGCTCATGCCTGTAATCCCAGCACTTTGGGGGTGCTGAGGTGAGAGGATTGCCTGAGCCAACGGGTTCGAGCCCAGCCTGGGCAACTTTGCAAGCCCACATCTCTGCAATCAATCAAAAAATTAGCCAAACGTGTTGGTGCATGCCTGTAATTCCAGCAACTTGGAAGGCTGAGGCAGAAGGATCGTCTGAGTTCAGCAGATCGAGGCTGCGGTGGCTGTGAATGTACCACTGCACTTCAGCCTGGGTGACAGAGTGAGACTCCAACAAAAAAAAAAAGAAAAAAGAAAAAAAAAAGGCATGCACAAAATACTATAAAACAAAAAATGTGGTTTTAAAAATAGTATGCATACCAAAGTTACTAAAAGAAAAGGGAAAAAAAGAAAAGTAAAATAGTATGCAAGCCGGGCTCGGTGTCTCAGCCTGTAATCCCACGCCTTTGGGAGACTGAGGTGAATGGATTGCCTGAGCCCATGGGTTCGAGACCTGCCTGGGCAGCGAGACCTCATCTCTACAATAAATAAAAAAATCAGCCGGGCGTGGTAGCGCATGCTTGTAATTCTGGCTACTTGGAAGGCTGAGGCCGAAGGATCACCGGAGCCCAGCAGGTCGAGGCTGCGGTGGCCAGGAGCGGCCACTGCACTCCAGTCTGGGCGACAGAGTGAGACTCCAACTCAAAAAAAAAAATAGTATGCAAACAGTATTGTAAACAACAAAAAAGCAAAGGATAATTCCATTTCTGTAATTTTATGTATATATACACACATACATATATATATACACACACAGGTGGAGCATTCATAATCCGAAAATCCAAAATCCAAAATGCTCCAAAATTCCAAACTTTTTAAACATCAACATGATGTTCAAAGGAGCATTTTGAATTTTTGGATTAAAGATGCTCAGGTAAATAATGCAAATATTTCAAAATCTGAAATTCTTCTGGTCTCAAGCATTTCAGATAAGGGATACTCAACCTGTATGTTATATATATGTGTATATGCATACCCTGCACAGAAAAACACATGAATAGTGGTTATCCTTGGACAGTAGGGTCTTAGAAAATTTTGTTCTTTTTTATTTTGATTTAAAACTTTTCTAAAATAAGGCCAGGTGTGGTGGCTCAAGCCTGTAATCCCAGCACTTTGGAAGGCCCAGGCAAGAAGATTGCCTGAGTCCAGGGGCTTGAGACCAGCCTGGGCAACTTGGTGAGACCTCATCTCTACCACAAAAAAAAAAAAAAATAGCCAGGCCTGGTAGCACATACCTGTAGTGCCAGCTGCTTGGAAGATTGAGTTGGGAGGATCACTTGAGCCCAGCAGGTCGAGACTGCAGTGACCATGAGCAAACCACTGGACTCCAGCCTGGGTGACAGAGTGAGTCCAACTCAAAAAAAAAAAAACTTCAATAAAAATACAGGGCCATTGCCTTGCTAGACTCTCCTGTGGCCCATATGCTCTTTGAGCTATGGCTGTCGCCATGCTTTCTGGCTTTGGTCCCCTCCCCCACTCGGGGAGGTGAATCTCCTGTCTCCCTTCTCTTTCTCTCTCTAATTTACTTTTAAATAAACTACATTTTTTAATCTAAAAAAAATGCATAATTTTAAAATAAAAATTTAAAGTTTTTAAAACAAAGAGATCCATATTCTTATCACATAAAAACTCTTAATAAATTTGTAACAAGAAGACAAAAACTAAACAGAGAAAAATGAACAAGGGTAGAAACTAGTAACAATGAAAAAATGAAAATGTTCAATAAACATAAAGATGTTCAACATAGTTTCTAAGAAAAGGAGCTGAGCCAGTTGTGGTGGCTCACACCTGTAATCCCAGGACTTTGGGAAGCTGAGGCCAGAGGATTCCCTGAGTACAGGGGTTTGAGACCAGCCTGGGCAACTTGGTGAGACTTTGTCTTTACAATAAATTTTAAAAATTAGCTGGTATGATGATGTGTGCCTACTGTTCCAGCTACTTGGAAGGCTGAGGCAAAAGGATCCCCTGAGTCCAGCGGGTTGAGGCTGCAGTGTCCATGAGCGTGCTAGTACACTCCAACCTGGGCAACAAAGTGAGACTCCTACTAAAAAAT